CGAAGCTGCTGAGCTGGATTTCATACATGATATTGAACTGATAGCACATGAAGCGAGGAATATACTGCGAACCGTATCTGAAATATAATGACACAGTAGGATAATGAATAAAAAGTAGACACTGCATATGCTGCCAACATTAAATATTCCTGATTTAAAAAAAAGGGAAGCACAACAAATGAGGTAGTTTAAAAAAGGAAAAAGAAAAAGTAAAGGTGTCATGTCTCTCACACACCAGGCATACATTGTAAAGCTCATGGCTTTTTTTCTAGAGGTATGCCGTAACATAGTCGGCTCTGTGGCCAAGTCGATGCAAACGCTTCGTAATGCCGGGATGCCGGGTTCGATCCCAGCTACGGGCCATGCGCCGTGCGTTAGTTTCGACAGTGGTATCAGGGAGTCGACCGTCCACAAAGCAATAGCAAACTACTGGAGGTAAATCTGCAACTATCCTGTAAAGGATACGCAACTTACCATGCAGTAACACACCCGTTTTTTTTTCTTTCAGAGCTAAAGATAAATAAATTATGGTAAGTACTGGCACTCTTTTAAGATACTGAGTACCGAGTACCGCAACATTGTTTTCTGGGAGAAAAGTTGGGATGGGGGGGGGGGGGGAAGAAGGCTGGCGGGTCTCTAAATCTATCTATATTTTGATCGACACTGGTCATGTGATGTGACCAACATCATGTCGGTAGTCTTGATTTCCCAGGACATTACCTCATCATGATTATCATCATCATCATCATCATCTGATGAAGTGGTTCTGCAGACTGTTGTTGGCTACCATACCTCTCCAAACTTGCAATCTCCAGTAACATGCATCAAATAATGGGTTGACACTCCTTCATGCCACGACAAATTGTGTCAAGAATCTTCTCGCGTTGTCTTCATTTGTCTCTCCTTTCCCGGATCTATCCAGACGCCACAGTTTGTTCTAGTTTCATTCTTCTCATAACGTGGTGCTAAACGGATTATTGCCTGGTGAGGTGACCTCGGACCCATCTTACACTGGACCCAACTAGCGCCCAAGGGTACTAAAGGTTATGAGGCTTAACGTGGATCCGAAAGTTGTGGGTTCAAAACAAGACATTTGCTCCCAAATCGACCCAGCCTTAAATGGGTACCAGATAAAGTCCTTGGAAGTAAAGACGACCGACGTCACGTTGACCATATTCAACCATAGAGGGAGAATAAAAGACCTATAAAAATCTAGTCTGGCCTTATATGTCCTCTACGCCTTTAGCGTGTTATTTTACTTATAATGCAAAGCAAAAAAGGTAGTCCTTACGGAGATAGCTCGTTTGGTTTATACAACGGATCAACATCATGGCACAAGGGTAGTAACCTATAAATGCTCCATTCTTCTTCTAGCTCAAGCCTGAGTCTGAAAAATCTCAGCACAGTGCACGAACCCCGTAGCTCCGCCGAAGATCATGAAATACTTTGGGTAGATTTTAACTCCTAATTTTGCCCGGGCAGCGTCGTTAGGCTACTCTTTTAGATTTCGAACTGCTAAAGGATTTTTTAAGTGTGCAACAATACACACGGGCGTCCGATCTTACTTCCCAGAGACCAGGGGAAATTACTAGAAGTCCACGTGAAAAAAAAAATCCCACCTTTCACAGGGGCCTGAACCCAGGACCCTCAGCACTCGGGGCGGACGCCATACCTCGATACCAATTAGCTCCCTACTAGATAGCCTAGGCGTGGATAGCGATGATTTTTTTCAGTGTGTTGTATAAGCAAATAACCTTGAAGAACTTAGCGACAACAGGAAAATTTTATGGAAGAAGAGTACGGCAAATCGTCGAAAACACACATACGGTTTTGAATTATGCATGCGAACACAAATCTTTTCCAAAGCTATGATGACTCTGTGAAATGGAGAAATATTACAGCATACTTTTATCAGCATGATACAAGAGGACTACCATAGTAACTCCGGTCTTTATAATTACTGTTTCTTTTTCTCTGCTTCTTCTGCCTTTACTTTTAAAAAGACGGTTGGCACATTCCACTGGTTTACAGCTAGCTGCGATTTCTGTACCGTTGAGCCTGACACAGCTTATTTCAGCAAACTTTTAATTAGTCCCCCTTTCCGACATGCTTGGGGGGAAGAGGGTGGGTGGGAAGGTTGTTTCTCTCATTCCACCTTAACAGTGACTCTGAACCTAAACAGAGATATCCAGTTTTGGAAGTTCTCCCGAGCCTGCCCGCATGCCCGAGGTTGTGTTATCGTGAGTCTCTCTGAAACGCCGAAGGAGCATGTGTAAAAGTAAGAAGGTAGAAGAGCCGAAGGCGCGACTGTTCGGTTGTATCGAAACTGGGATGTTTTTTGTGTTTCTGTGTCCACCCCTCCCCCCCCCCCCCCCCCCCCCCCCCCCTTTAACTGACAAGGAAAGAAAAAATATAAAAACTTCGCAGTTTAGATACCTATGAACCGTCGGGCATGTAGCACAACGTGGAAATAATCACACAAGTGAGCGGCGGAGCGGCGATAACACGAGAAAAGAGACAAAGGTTAAAGCGTTCAACATAAGGAATAAATGACACCCCCACAACATAGTACAGGACGTGCTACACGCCGCGGTACGAAGGGGAGGAAAAGGAACTCTCAACCTGCGGGCGGATTTGTGATAAGTACCCCAGTTTTATAGTGGTGCCTGTCGATTTGACTAGAGAGGCCAGGGGTGTTGGGTTGGATTCTATCCGTGATATCAAGTTGTTTGTTTTAGTATCCAGAAGCCATGAGTTATTAACCCTTGGGCTCGGTATAATGGATATCGCAACCTTCGGCCTTGATTCCATTTTAAATACCGTAAATCTGGGAGAAAATGTGACTTTTCTACCCAATCCCGGGAGTGAACCCTGACCACAAGGAGTTCGTCACCCGCTCACCGCGAAATCCGGTTAAGCCAACTACGCTAGAGATACGGGCATCATATCAAGTTGATTGCACCGGATAAAACGGAATGGATGAATAGACTGTGAGCCCTATGTGACATAATGGCACAACAGAATCATGAATGAATGTCCATTGTCATAGTGTATTGTGGCCAAAGACAAGTCTTATGTTTGATTCATAAGTGAAGTGGTGAAGAACCCTTTCCAAGCCCTCAGATCTATTGGACATAAAGGGCTAGAACTATATTTTATAGACCAATCGGCAGGAGGTGAACGATGTGGTCGACATCACACCGGCCGCCTTTACCTCCCAGGACCGCACCTGAGTCGATCTGAGAGCCAAGGTCATTTTGGAAAAAGCCCGGTTCTGTCAGGACCCGAACCCACGACCTTCCGATCCGCAGGCTAGGGTCTAGCCGTTACACCTCGTCAACTCCCATGTTTTATTCATACTTCTAGAGAATTCGAGCTGGGGTATAATGTTACAATGTGATGAGTAGGCCGATGCATTGGAAGAGATAAAAGGATTTGGGACCTAGAGCGCTGAACTTTCCAAGCAATTGCAAACCTCATGTAAAAAAGCTACCATTATTTCTTCTTCTCTCTCACCTTATTCCTCAGCGAAGTTTCAGGGGGGGGGGGGGGGGGGGGGGGGGGGGGGGGGGGGGGGTTAAAGTTCGTTGTTGAGTTCTGTCAAGAGCACTAGATGACGTCACAGGACAGTCCAACATTTTTTAGGGTGGTTAGACTGGGTTTTTCCCGACTATTTGATGCTTATAATAACCCCAAAATATATATAACTGGCCCTAACCCCACCCCATCTATGTCCCACGAGAGAGTGCAGCCTAGGTCCCACAAATGCCTGCAGCCTAGGTCCCACGACTGCATACAGCCTATCTACCACCCCTGAAGTCTTAAACTGTCCCGTGAGCTGTGGATTTCTCCTGTTTGCAGTAGGGTTTTAATAAAGCACCTAGCACTGTTCAGATTGATGTTCCTTTATGTAATGCCATCACTCCATTTTTTTTCTGAGGGTTTTCGTTCGCTCTATACCTGTTATAACTTTTCAGTGTTGCTCGCTGTTGTAGATAGTACCAGGGCATTCTTGTTAGGTGTCCAGACCACTTCAGTTGTTTGTTCTTTGATGACCATTACTACCCTGTATTTACCATATTTGCGGTGTACGCCCCCCTCCCCTAAATCGGGTTAGAGGGGAATTTTTTAACCCGATGTTGGACCGCATGGCTAGTGCTGTCGCCCTGGACCGTAAAGGTTGGGATTTTATTTTAATAGTACTCATGAACTAACACACCTGCCTGGTCAGGACTTCCGGTTACTTCGTAACCGTCAGTGTCTCCAATATAACCTCTACTGTTGAATAGAGTTTATCGGGATTTTTACCTGTAAGATTTTTAGTTTTCATGTGGTAATTATGTGGATTGTAGAAGAAGAAGAGAAAAAGAGGAATAGGAAGAAGAAGAAAAAGAAGAAACAGAAGCAAAATAAAGCTGAAAAAAGACGAAGGAAGCTGAAAACTAAGGAAGGAGAAGAAGCAGCAGACGAAGAAGAAGAAAAGAAGAACTGCTTATAATTACGCTGACTCCACTTTCTCAAGTCCCAGCCCAGAACCTAAACCCGCAAACCCACCACAACCTGTACCGACGCAAACAACTTACTTCTATTAGATTCGTAACCGTCGCCTCCCCTAATATAACTGTGTTACACGGTTAAAAGGAGTTTCTGGAATGTTCACGAGGTGGACTCATACCCGAAAAGTGTCTTAGCGAGTCACGAGGTGTTAATCTGAGAGTGCAATTTCAGACATGTACCGACACAACATATGCTTACTTGCACGACACTTGATGATGATGACCACTATTATTAATTTATGAAGAGCTGACGGAAGTGTCCCCCATTTCCGTTTATTAGTTAGTTAATTCCTGGATGTTATTGTACAGAATTGCGAACTAATACCCCGGAATTAATTCCTGTTTGTTTATATAAGTAATTTGTTTCAATTTGACTGGTCTCCTCATGCAATGATGATCTGTGTTACATGTTAGTAACACTTTGTAGAACTGTTGTTAATAAATATGACGGAAGGAGGAAATTCGTTGAGTTTAACAGATGACGACGACGATTTCGAGGAAGAACCACTGCCGGAGTTGTCCGGGACCTTGTGTAAATGGACCAACTATTTGCACGGCTGGCAGGATCGTTATATCGTTTTGAAGGATGGTACAATTAGTTATTATAAATCAGAGGATGAGACGGCGTTTGGGTGTAGAGGGGCTGTTTCAATTTTGAAAGCTACTGTTACGGTAGGTTTTGTTTTGTTTGTGTCAGTGTGAGTGAGTGTAGTGTCAGTGTGACTGTGAGTGTCTTTCACTAGTTTCACTTTGTGTCTAACTTTAAACTTAACCCTTTGAATCCCACCAGCTAGAATGATATTATTATTATACAATAAATGATATTATTATTATTAATATTATTTTTTGCTATCCTCCATATAACGGTCCTAAATTATGGAGGTGGAAAATATACCTTAACAGTAACAGGGCCTGTCACGTATCATTTGCGCACTTTAACGCCACCGCCTGATTGCAAAATTCTGGGGACTTCCACCACAGCTGAGGGTATCCCACACGCATTTCACGCGGCGTGGATTGGGGCTAAACTAGATGGCTAGGACTCACCAGCAAATAAAATAAAAGAAGCTGCACGAGATGCGGTAGCTGCTGCTTGTGAGTCCCAGCCATCTAGTTTAGCCCCAATCCACGCCGTGGGAGCGGTGTGGGGGATAATCTCCGCGGTGGAGGAAGTCCTGGTTGTGTGCAATTTAAGACAAGGAAAGTGCCCAATTGACACCTGACTGAGGCCCTGTTAGGGTATATTTTCGGAATAACAGTCCCAAATTATCAAGGCCGAAAATATACACTAACAGGGCCTCAGTCACGTGTCAATTGCGGACTTCAGGTGACTTAAAATTGCGCACTTCTGCCACCACAGAGAGTATTCCTCACGCGGCGTAGATTGGGGCTAATCTAGATGGCTGGGACTCACGAGCAGCAGCTACCGCATCTCCTGTAGCTTCCTTCATTTTATTTGCTCGTGAGTCACAGCCATCTTGTTTAGCCCCATTCCAAGCCGCGTGGGGGATACTCTCGGCGGTGGGGGTATAGTCCCCGGAAGTCCGCAATTGACACGTGACCGAGGCCCTGTTAGGGTATATTTTCGGCCTAGATCATTTGGGACCGTTATTCAGAGGATAGCTGCATATCAGTAATTTAAAGAACTTAGGTTATGAAATTGTAACAACTGGCAGTCACAGAAAATTATGTAAATAAAGTCAGACAAGTGTTCTCTTCTTTGGACTAACTAATGACAGTGAGTTGTTTGGATCCGAAAGAAAGAGTTTAGTAAAATGTTGAAGTTCACTATGTAAGAAAGAAACTTCAGTAATGTTAAAATTAAATATCAAGTCAAGTTACATCATTGTCATACTGTGATCCATGGTAGTGTGAAGGCTCCTTTTTTTAAGACTGGAGATGAAAAAAGGTACCAGTACTGACAAAAAAGAGTTTGAATTGAGTAACGGTACTCAGTGGTATTGCAAGGTCAGGTGGTAATTAGTGCAGACAATTTCCTGCCCCCCCCCCCCCCCCCCCACACATTTGTTAATGTTTAAAACATTTTTTTTCCACTATTACCACTAACCCCTCTCCCCCTTCCCCTGTGTGAGTGATGACACTCCACACCCCACTGGCGGTACTTACGATAGTGTCTATTAGTACTGCACCAGTGGCACTACTGATTAAAACTTATGGCTTATGCCTAAAAAGGTGCTGGTACTATGTAGTTCACCATTGCTTACCATCAGAAAAAAGCCTGGTGTAATAGTATATAATAATGTTTTATGTATTACTGATACAATCAAATTGTGATGCCTGATTTTTAATTAAGTTTCTGCATCAGTTATAATCAGAAATACCATTTTATTTGTAAATATAATTATTTTTTCTTCTTCTTCGCGTTCACCAGCTATACATTCTGGCGGAAAGTTCTGGTTGCTCGTCCACTACTGAACTGCAGTCCTGCTCCAGAACCTGAGTGTTGCGTGTGCATCAGTTTTACAGATCTCATTCTCTTGAATACAGACTGTTGGTTCCTTGCCTCTCCGGCAGATGCACTCCGACTTCAAAGGAAGCTCCCCAATTAGTTGACTCTTACGACATGCTTTTGGGGAGGCAGTGGGTCTATTCTTGTTTTCCCCTACAATGGGGCCCCGGATCCCACACGGGGGGCGGGGGGGGGGGGGAATTTTTTTTTTTTTTAACTTCCAAGTTGCTCACTGAACATTTAAAGGTAGGCATTGCAGTAATACTGAATTTAGTTTCTCTTGAACATCCTCACTTCCTCAGTCCATTTGTTTTCTTTTTCAGTGCCTGTTTTGCTTTTCATTGTCCACCTCACCCCAGTCATGCCCATACCATCTTCTTTCTCTCATAACAGTTGATACAAGTAGTTGTCCGGATATTTCTTTCATTAATGAAGACATAACTTAATGGAAAATTGTTAGCTGTTTGGCATACGCTGTGGAGGTTCTTTGATCAGCTAAAATAAATCTTTGTATGGGGGAAGTGTATATGGCTCTTGGCTAATCCAGTCCCAGATGGCTAGCATATATAATCTGGTAGGGAAAAAGCACAAGGAAAGGAATTGATCACCACACTTCACTGCTTTAGCCTAGTTGATGTATTGTGTTATAACCCACTAACGGCATCTACTATCCTGAAATAGCCTCTAAATTTATTAGAATCTCATAGATAGCTAAGAAGACCAGTATCAGGTACTTTCAAGAAGCCAGTTCCCAAAGCCAATATCCACATCAGGGGCAATCATTTTGTGTGTGGGCCATTTTGTGAAAAACATTATTATGACCAGGAAATTTGAGATGAGCAAAATGCTGAATGGTTTTGACAGAGTTGCAGGGTCAGTGATGATCAGTGGTCAAACTGACCAACATTCCAGAGGTCAGATGTTTGGGCTATGGTTTATGAGTTGAGTTATTCCATGGCTCTCTAGATATGTCAGTGCCATAGGTGCTGGCATCTTCCCTCCAGCTTGTATATTATGGCTAACATGGCTAGTTTTATGTATGTTAACACTTCTTCTCATACATCTGGTGTGCCTCTTGTGCTGCACTAGATACATGGTTAGTTTGCAGATTTCTAATATATATTTATGTAAACTTAAGAATTATAATTCATTTTATGTAGCAATCAAAACATTCATGTTATAATGGTGTCAGTCAGTGTCTCTAGTCATATTATACAGAAACCATAATAATTTTTTTAAATTGTATGTATAGTTTATACAATAAAATTTGTTGAAAAAATGAAATCATGAATCAGTGTGGCAGTTTTAGTAAGGTACAAATATATTCTGACAGCCCCACCAGTTTGATGAGTGCCGCTTTGATGTCAGTGTTAGCGACAGTGTGTGGTACCTGAGAGCATCAACACCAGAGGAGCGGCAGACGTGGATTGAGGCTATTGAACTTCACAAAGTAACTAGAATTGTTTGTTGTTTCTAAATGTATTTATGTAGACGTAAAATACTTGAATCCATACAGCAGAGTTGTTCAACTAGAGGTCCACAGACCCAGTCTGGCCCGCAGAGGCCTGGCAAGTGACCCACCAATCTCCTGCCAGTTGTCTTAGTGATCTTTCTGTGCTGGGGCTCTGGCCAGCGACAATGCCCGTTTTCAAAATTTTGGTCCCTGGTAAACCAAGTTGAATAACCCTGCCATAGTTTCTTTCGATTTCTTGTCTAGCTTCTTTCTGAAAGATAACTCCTTAAATGTATTGTCTATATGGTCTCTTTACTTTGTTACTATTAAAATGGCTTAGTCTATTTTTTTGGTGAAATGTGGCACTAAGTAGATGTCTGTTTGGTTGATTCATGGTAAAATGGCTTTCTTGTCTGGCTTTGGGATGAAAGATGATTCTTTGGATGTTTGAAGTTAAAATTTCATTGTCTTTTTTCTAACCATATGCATGCATCATTTATTTAGTTGGTGTTAGTGTTAAAATGGTTTTATTGGCACTTTTTATTGTTCATGCAATGTTTGAAACCATGAGCAATATATGAACATTGAGGATTCTTTTAAACCGTTTTTATAAACTGTGTGCAACTTTTTCCTAACTTAAATTTCTTCCAGAATTTACTGTCTGAGTCTTCGCAATTTTTGAATAGACATTTGCCTGTCTTAAGTTCATATCTGCAGCAAGAGGGATTGCAGGCTTCCAGGTTGACCCAACCTAAAATAGGTATGAGGAAGAAGTCCTGTCAGTTGAAGGCACTCATGATGTTGTCCCCATCACGTTTTGAGTGCAGATTTACCTTAAAAAAATATGGATCTGGCACCAAATAACCTTTAGATTGAGTGGGAAAATGAACCATATTTGATTGCTGCTGTGAGTTTATTTGCTAACAACATTTGTGGCAGAATAAATGCAGGGAAGATGTAACTGACCATAGTTATAGTAAATTAAAACACCTGTTGTGTGCAACAAAGAAAAACGTTGATGTTTTGCGTTACATTTTTTTTCTTTCAGCAGGCTGATTCTTGTTATGGAAGTGAAAATAATTTGCGCCGTCATGGTTCCCTGTTATCACTGGCTTCTGGAACCAGTCTCTCTCAGACGTCTGCATCATCATTCAAGGTGAGCTTTGTGTTTGCTGTTTTGTTTGTTTGTAGTGACCTGGAATGTTATTGTGAAATCGTAGTAGAAGTATCTTCATTCTTTTGTTAGTAGTTGCATTGTGAATCTAGGTGCCACAGTTTAACAGATGGTAGGTAGCCATGCCATTGCATGCTCGGTTGCTTGGCACGTGATGATGTTGTGAATGTCTTGAGCTGTCAATGACACCTTCAATCCTTTTGGTTTTCATTTGTTTCTTGGTCTTTCCATTGTCATTTTGTATGTCTCTGGCTTTAAAAAACTATTGTATTAATGGAGGGCAGGTGGTTAGAATGTTGAGTTGTCTTTCAGGTCACCGGGGTTTAAATCATTAGTATGGTGATAATAATCTGGTTCTATCGGGAAAAAAAAAAAAAAAAATTTCTGCCTTCACAGTTCAAAAAGACTGAGTTAACCTTGTGGCCTTGCATTCTCGGATTCATGTTACCCCTTTTCTACACTGTCCTGAAAAGTGGTAAAGACAGCTATATCAGTATTTTGTTATAATGAGGTTTGTATAATTAAGCCAGGAGAAAGTTTGTAGAAAATACTTTTCTCCTCCTCATTTGCTGGTTGTTCGTCTACTTCTGGACTTTAATCTTGCTCCAGAACTTGAGTTGTGCGTGCACATCCCCTTTACAGAGCTGGCTTATTTGTATGCAGATGATTAATTCCTGGCCTCTCAGGCAGATGCACTTTGACTTCCAAGAAGATTAACACTCATACCTTTTTATCAATTATACAGAAATTATTTTGCTGCTAATGGATATGCATCTGTATGTCTTTTAACATACTGTGTTCTCTGCCTTTCTAAAGAACATATATTTCTGGTGGCAGTTGGTGTTGAGTGGGGTTAATGTAAACAATGGGACAAGTCTCAGGGAGTTAATAAATGCTTATTGTGTGAGAATTAGCCAGTATGCGTATGGTGAGTCAGTTGCTGCTGAAAGAGTTAAAAGGTTTATGACCTGCTTTTTTTTTTTCAGCGAGGGCGTGGGCTGAAAGAGAAACTGGCAGAAATGGAAACATTCAGAGACATATTATGCAGGCAGATTGACACATTACAAAGCTACTTTGACTCCTGTGCTTCAGCAGTTACACATGGAGCAGTCCAAGAATGTATGTCTTATAATCATTCATATTTAATTATATTTCCTGTTTGTAATTTTCGGATAGTAGAAAGCAAGGGAAATGTTGGTTTGGATTTGAGAGTAATATTCAAATTCTGTGAACATGTTAGTTTAAAAACACACTGCTAATTTTAAATTATTATTCAACTTATGTTTCTTGTGATTAAATTATTGCTTGCATGCCTGTTGAGTGATTTCAATGATGAGTTTCCCATCATGCTTTTCTTTAGATTGGATACAGACAATGTAGTTTACTATAATAAATAACACAGAAAGCAGTTGCTAGTGACCTTATACACTTCAGTGTAACAAAGAAAGGAAATTAAATGGTATATCCACTTAGAGAGAATTCTGTGTAATGCTATATTGTATAAGGCATATACCAGTAGAGGAGAGGGATTTAGAGACCAGTGAAGACAAAAAACAAATTAGAAAGGTAACATTAGAGAAACTACAACAAAGATCCAGTGTTTGTGGTCAGAGAGTGAGAACCAGACTGTATCTTCCTCAACATCCTAAATGGTAATAGAGGATGACACCTCACTGCAGGCATTCTTCAGATTTTCTTGTGTAAAACTGTATTGATAATTTGTACTGACTAGTCATTACAACTAATCAATACAGGTTACACAAGAACACTGACAACCAGATTGGAATTTTTCAAAACATTAGACAGGAATGTATACTATCACTGGATTTATTCAATTGGAACAGTGAAATAATAATTAGATCCTTGCATGGAATGCCAGGAATAGCGGTTGGTGGGCATTGTTAGCAACCTGCGGTATGCTGAAAGCGTAGCTTTGATCACTGAAAATGAAACATTGTTGCAAGCACTGACGGACGTAATTGTAACAGAAAGTCAAAACAAGAGTCTTTGAACAGCAGAAAAACAGAAGTAATGGTAATTACAAAGAAAAAGACCCTGTGAAATGCACTAAAGAAGTGTACATTTATCACAGTGGATACTCGATCCCCAAAGCTGTGTTGGACACATTGTACTGACTACATATCAGTATTGTTATTTTATATATTGATAGTGTCTGAACATGATTCTGATGATGATCTCGACATACCACACAGTGCCTCCAGCAATTATGCACTTTCCCACCGACTTGAAGGACTGAGGGGGAAAGATTTAGGTAAGTCAGTTTCTTTATATTTATTATCTTTAACTAGCTGGTGTCTTAATTTAGTTTTAGTCTGTAAGAAACTGCATGCCTTCTTTGTTTCAACATAATACATAGCAAAAGGTTTAGTTCTGATTATAAATCTCTTTATGAGTGGCAAAGCAGAAGAGGTGGTGAAAGCTTTCTGTGATCAAGTGAATAGTGCAACAGAACAAACAGTATCCATACATTGCACTGACAGACTGGAAAAAAAAAGGGGGAGGGGTGGTAAAGGGTCTGGAAGATTTTCAACACTGATGGAAACATAGGTGAACTGTTTATCAGGTTACAATTTGTACTATTAGTTTATCAGCACTTGTTGACTACTGATGAAGGAGAGGGAGACACATGGAAATGTCCCAAGTGTAGGAATGTCAGTTCTTCATTCATTTATGTTTTATATACCTGATTGCTTTGGTTCAGTTTGTAAAAAGTCACCATATTTTTTTTAGTTCCCATTTATTTAAAAATCCCTCCGTGTATTTGTTTCGTACTGTTTTTTAGTTTTAGTTTGTATAATATGCTTCCATTTTGTAGTTGGTACCTTTCTGTGTGTCGTCTCTGTGGCTAAGTCGATGCGAACGCTTCATAATGCCAGGATGCCGGGTTTGATTCCAGCTGCGGGCTATGCGCCTTGCTTTAACTTTTACAGTGGTATCAGGAGAGCCGATCGTCCAGAAAGCAATGGCAAACTACTGGATGTACATATGCCTAGAAAAACCACACAACAGCCAGGGGCTGTTGGGGTTGGTTCTGCAACATTCTGTGAAGGATACGCAACTAACCTTAACCTTTTTGTGTTACCACACAGTAGTGTTATATTGAGCTGTAGGAAGGCACGGGAACCATGGCCAGTGTAACTAGCACAATCTGTTTACATTTAGAAAAGTCATCCAGATTCAGAGCATGAGATTTCATTACCACTGTTACTGTAGCATGTATTTAATGTGCTTCTCATAGTGTTGAACCCATCTGTGGTCATTTCTCCTTTTTTTTTTTTTTTTCAAAATTCCTTTCCTGATTTGTTCCCTCTGAACAACACAGTCCATAGTTGTCCATTTATTTTGCACTTAATTATTTTAGTTGACTTTGACATATTTTCCAGTATATGTTTTTTTTAATGTTATTATGATACTTCTGCTGCTTTAATTTGTAGAGTACCTACACCCACATGTTCCACTCTGTGCTTTCACCTTCCGTTATTTTTGTAACTTGCTTGACCATGAATGACGCAAACAGTCATGTTTTCATGACATTCACCCGATTCTTTTGTTCATTTCCCTTCTGTTTCTTAGATTTGTATATTTATCATCAAAACCAGTTTCTTTATATTTATTGTCTTTAACAATATGTTTTTCTTCATTTCGTTTGTAAAAAGTCACCTGCTATCTTTGTCTCCATATAATGTGTATCAAGTTCTTTAGGTCCGGATTGTATTATTTCTCTGTTTGTCAAGTATTTGGTTGTTTCAGTACCTCTTTGTCTAAAGAATTGCTGTTGTTCATTTCAGTTTGTAATGTATCATCTAATAATCTGTAGTAAATTGTTTTAATTAAGATTGTAGTAACTCTGTATTTATTCATGTTCTATGTAGGCATTAACTTCTAACAGACATAAGTAGAAAGTAAAGGACTCTTTTTGCCAACTGCAGGTCTATTGGGCTTATAGGGCTAGACCTATATTTTTTTTTAGATCTGTTGGCACTTTGGTGGATGATCTGGCCAGCATCACACCAGCTTTTAGATCTGTTGGCACTTTGGTGGATGATCTGGCCAGCATCACACCAGCTTTTAGATCTGTTGGCACTTTGATGGATGATCTGGCCAGCATCACACCAGCTTTTTGAAAGAAACACATTAAATTCCCTCGACTTTACCTGGTACCCATTTAAGGCTGGGAGCCAAGATAATTTCCGAAAAAGTCCAACTCCCTCAGGACCAGATTCCAGGACCTTCCGATCCGCAGGCAAGCGTCTGGTCGATGCACCAATGTAGCTCCCAGTATACATATAAGCATTTAAGTAATGCTATCGCTATCGAGTCAGATTCCTAGGAACAGGACTCCATGTAACACATTGCGTGGAAAGGGCAAATCAGGAAGATAATAGGGACAGCTCTGAAAAGGATTGCAGACAGTTTAAGATCTGAGCGCCTGAGAAGAAACAAATCGTTGCATGTGACGAATGTGTGGAAGTTTGTTCTGTCTGTCTGTATGTGTGTCTATCTGTCTGTGTCTCTCTCTCTCTCTCTCTCTCTCTCTCTCACACACACACACACAACCTCACTTCATCATTAGTTACCTTTAGCATATCAAGCTTTTTGACTATAAACATCCATATTGATTAGATACAGGCCTTGTACAAATTATCATTTGTAGGTGATGTTAATAATTCTGACAAAACCAACACTCCAAAGTCTTACGATATGGCCCCCTTCTCACCTCTCTGTTTCACCCTCCCTTTTCTCATCTTTCTTTGTTGAATCACAGGTTTACTAAAACAAAGATTCCTCTTGCCTGCTGTGCACAGTTTTGTTATAAATAAGTACATTCTCTTATTCAGCATCCGTCCTGCAGCAGCACGGGGGCCATTCTGTTGACTTCAAAGGTGAGGCACTTACCTTCAAGGCTACAACAGCTGGAATCATTGCCACACTCTCCCATTGTATTGAGCTCATGGGTCAGAGAGAGGAGACATGGAAAAAGAGATTGGACAGGGTAAATATAAACTATTATTGCTATATTTTTAATGGAACCCATGGCTAAACTGTTAGGTGCCAGTCTGTCATATCTACCATATGGAAGAGATTGCACAGGGTACATATGAACTATTATTGCTATATATATTTGAATTGTCCTATGGTTACGCCAATACCGGCTCCAGCTGACGGGCCATGCTGCTGACATCACCAAACCGGGCTAACGTTACATTAACTTGTTCCTGAATTTAAAAAAAAATAAGTAAAAATAAATGCAGGCAACACTGCCTGTCACCAAAATATAAAAAAAAATGATGGAGAAACTGAAAATGTCACAAACTTTGAAAATTAAGGCTCCATTACAAACAGCAGTGACATAACAACCCATTAGGGTCGTGGAGGTGTATTATTGGAAGTACCAGCACATAAAACCCGCCATCTTTCTCTGACTTCTGCTTGATGAATAAGTGTAGGATAACCTAGTCCTGTCCATTTCTTGATGTTGTCATTCCAGGATCTTCTTTGCCCTCCTCTTCTTTGACTGCCCCCCAATATCTCACCACATGCCCAAACCAAACTAGCTTGCGACGTTTCACCAGTGCCAAGAGAGGTTCTTGTTTCAGACATATTTATTAGCTTTATGTTCTAAATAACTAATTCGTAAAATGAGTCTGTAGCATTTACATTCGAAAGTCTGAATCCTCCTTTTTATTTCCACAGTGAGAGTCTGTCATATTAGGATAAGAAAATAGACAACACCAGTGATTTGTAAATATTAACCTTGACTGTGATGCCGATTTAGCTCTTCCCCATCGTATTCAGCTGCAATATCACAGCTGCTGTCATGTCAAGCAATGGCAGCTGTTCAACAGAATTCAAAAGGATGATAGCCATGGTAGTACTTAAGTACACAGATTAAACAGCATTAAATGTCTGAGACTAAGCACCAGCAAGGAAATCAAAGTCAAAATTTTGAAATCATGCATTTTTCCTGTAGCAGCATATGGATGTGTCATGGACTGTCTTGCCATCATGAAGGAAGAAAATAGAGATTGTTGCGTGGAAATGCTACAGAGGGATTCACAGAGCACCATGGACCAAGAAGAAAAGAAATACTGATATCCTAAAAGATTTGGACATCAATAAACAGCATCTTGTTCTGGGAACAACCATACCAAGCACCATGGTGGAAAGAATAATAGCAGAAAACATGGTGCCAGGAAAGAAGGCTGGGGCCGACTAGCATGTTCATTTTTGGTGAACACATCATATTAAGGACACCTTAGGTAGGAAACCACATGAGGCAGGAGAGATGCAAAGAGACCTGAATTTCATACTTGCAGGCTATGTAGAGAGCGATATTCTGTAAAGGACCTGATACATGATGATGACATAAAAGCTACTTGATGATATAGTTATGTGATTCCTCCAGCCGTTGTTATTTGATGTTTCTTTAATTCCTTCTGTTCCGAAGTGTTATTATTAACTTCACAGAGCTGATAATTTATTATTTAAAATAACATATGCTTTTGTAAGGGCTAAGATACTACAATTGTTAAAGCATATAGAAAGACTGGCAGAAAACAGAGATCTAAACTCTGCACAAAAGAGTTGAATGTTAGCAGACCAAGAAGACAGTGAAGAAATACAGGCAGGCCTACAAACACTTGGAGTCACCGGCTGGAAAGAGAATTTCAGTCAGAGATAAACTGAGGCAAGGGACTAGCAATGAACCTCAAGGGCTCCGAATGCTGAAGAAGAATCTTTGCATGACACTGAAAGAATTAATTAAAAGAGAAAGATTTGGATGCTCAAATTAGATTTTGATATTAAGTTATCTGATTGTCTGGATCATTATCAACACAGACACAACCTTCATAAAAACTTATGTGACTCTAAAAAACTGGATTTATTCACTGTATCACCATGTGTCACTGAGATGATGTGTTTAAAAAAAAAAAATCAGCAGTGATGATGCTGTATGCCTAACGAAATTTTGGTGAAATTGATTTGAGATTTACGTAAATGAGGGGATTACACTGTAAATCAAGTTCCAAGTAACTGTCGTCTTATCAAAGATATAGTATCCAAGAAAAAAATTTGTCAGAACTTTTGGTGTTACTTGTTCCATCTTGATGTAGAGTTGGTTTTTTTCCAGCTTTTTTTTCTTCTAATGCATGGCTTGGATTTTTTATTAGGAAGTTGAAAGAAGGAAAAAGTTTCTAGAGGCATATAAAACCTTTGTATCAGACAAGAGCAAAAAAATTATTGTGGGAGGACCAGATTATGAGGTAAGAGTCATCAAATATGTTAGTGTTTTTATTTTACTACCATCTTTAATCCCCCCCCCCCCTTTTTTTTTTAAATTTCATTTTCTAATATATATATATGTATATATATATAAAATATAAATATTGAATTAAATCATCATCTTGCCATGACTGTAAATATAGGCTGTCAGGTTTCACCATCTCATATATCAGTGTTCTTGTCTCACCCACTCAACAAGGCCAAGCCGTCCAGGTATTGCTTTGCCTTCCTCTTGCTCTCTTTCCAACAGTCTTACCTATTGTTACCAAGTTCTCAAGTCTGTTGCTATACATAACATGCCCAAAAACACTGTCTTGACTGTTTCTAAGTGTTTTGGTAAGTTTCTACTTTATTCTGACTTAATGAGGACTGCTTCATTTGTTTTTCTGTCATTCCACAGTATTCTTTGTATTCTTCTCAAAAATCACTCCTGCTAGTAAATGTTTTCCACCTTATCTATTTATTGTTCATGTCTTACATGCATGTAACACACAGGCTCTACACAGCACTTTACCATTTAGTGAATTATATGCACCTATAATTTTAGCTGCAAGTAAAATTGCAAGAAGTTTATTAGTTTGAATGTTGGTTGTAATGAAATCTAATACTTGTGGTTTCTTCTTTAGGGATGGACATAAGAAGTCTTCTGAATGATTTACTATCTTAATATTTCAGTTTTACTTACTAAACAAGACAAAGTATTGCACTTTTTGCTATCATGTGGTGCTGGTGCTATGTAGTTATTTATCTTGATTCTCAGAATATTGATCTTAAACCTGTTTACCTAAAGTAACTTTGGCTTCCAGGTCGTCCCAGCCTTTAATGGTTACCAGGTAAAGTCTTGGGAAGTAAAGATATCAGCTGATGCTGACCACATAACCCACTGAATGCCGATTGGTATATAAAATATAGGTCTAGTTCTGTATGCCTAATGGCTTGGAAAAGGGCCCTTTCCTACACTTAACTTACCTGTTTTCAAAGAACCACTGTAGTGTTGTGACCATATGCTCTCCTCTCCTCTCCGCAAAATGTTGGATTATTTTTGACTTCCAGGTCAGCCAGCTAAAATTGGTTTTATGTAATGTCCTGGAAGGTAAAGGCGGCCAGTGTGATGCTAACCCTTCACCCACCAAGTGCAGATTGATCTATAAAAACATGACTCTGGTATCATATACTATTGGTGTCATAGGATCCTTTATCTACCTGTGTACTTTTTGATTTACCGTTTACCACTTGAAGTGGTTAAAACAAATTACTACATGTATACCAAACTCCACTTTATTTAGAATGGCATTAGGGTTGAGACTTGCAAGGCCAGATTTACTTTAGCATATGGATACAGTTCTGCTCTCTGTATTTCTGTCTCTTTCAGTAACTGGTGAAGTTAATCAGAAATAGTGCACTTTGAATTACTTTTATCAGTTCAACCCCTTCCCCCCTCCCATAAGGTCATTTTTCTTCATGCACACCCACCCTTTGTCGGTTCTGGGGATTCCACTTTAGGAGGAAGAATAATACCCACCCCCCCCCCCCCCCCCCCCCCCAACAGGCAAAGGTAATTTCCTTTTAAGTCAGAGTGGATCTGCCTCAGAGGTGAGAAACCAACAGTTTGCATACAAATAGGCTAGACCTGTAAAATGAATGTTCATGGCATGCAAAACTCACTATTAAAACAGAATCCATATCCAAAAGTTTTTTTCTTGTTGAAATTATTGTAATAATTGTCTGTAACATTGAGAGCTGGGAATTGTTAGGTTTAATTTGAGTTATAAAATCTTATCATGAAAGCTACAATCTTTTGATTCACAGGAGGGCCCTCATTGTTTGATACCAGAGGAAGAATTTTACGATGCGGTTGACGCCACATTAGACAAACTAGAAAAAGAAGAAGAAAAGGTTTGTATTGTCCATATTTTGAGTTTGTTTCAGTGAAAGCTACATGTGTTAAATAAATGCTTCACCATGTGTGTTCCGGGGCCCTATTATAGGGAAAACAAGAATAGACCATCTACCCAAAAGCATCTCATAAGAGTCAACTAATTGGGAGCTTCCTTCGGTCGGAGTGCATCTGCCTGAGAGGCAAGGAACCTTGCTTCTGCACCATCCTGTAAAGGATTCACAACCAACTTTAAGTAGCTACATTAAAGTATAAATGTATTATGCAACTTATTGGGAAATGCTAGGCAGATTCAAAAGAAAAGAGATTACAGGTTTGTGGAAGGCTCAAGAATAACCAAGGAAGTTGCACATCATTGAAATAATATTAAAGAACAAATTAAAAGGTCAAAGAAGGAGAAAGCAAAGGTGTAAAGAGAGAGGTGGAGGAAAAATAGATGATCTGAACAAGAGTTAACACCCCTATGAGACTTCATTGGTCATGGTGTATAGATGATCTAAACAAGAGTTAGTACCCCTATGAGACTTCATTGGTCATGATGTATAGATGATCTAAACAAGAGTTAGTACCCCTATGAGTCTTCATTGGTCATGGTGTATAGATGATCTAAACAAGAGTTAGTACCCCTATGAGACTTCATTGATCATGATGTATAGATGATCTAAACAAGAGTTAACACCCCTATGAGACTTCATTGGTCATTGTGTGTTTAATTTTTTGGAGGCAGCAGTTTTGATATCTTAGGAAAATGAAGCCCAGTCACTTACCAACAGAAAACAGGCTCTTTCTAAAGAGCTAGTAAAGAACTTAATGACACTTTTTCCCATGTCATAATGGATATAGGGTGCCTGTCTGCTGTTTTGTATAGATCAATTGGCAGTCGAGGGTTGATGTGGCAGCAGCCTTTACTTTCCAGAACATTTCCTATACCATTTTTAGGCTGCCTCAACATGCAAGTCCAGGTCAATATTTTTAAAAGCCCCACAACAGTGAAGAGTTGAAGACATGATCAGTGAGCCAGCAAACAACTCCACTAACCATATGGCTGCTCTGACAACCATAGAGCTATAAGAAGACCTAAAAGACATGGGAATTGATGTGTCATATTTGAATGGAAATATTTTAAAGACAGTGCAGTCTTTTCTTACTGCTAGAACTGTAAATCAAGTTTTGTTTTGTTTCAAACAGAAGAGAATTGTTGAATCCACAAGCAAGCCAGACCATGCCATATCTCTGTCTTCTTCTCATCCATTCTATAAAGAGGTGAGTATTTATTGTTTGGCCAAAGTATCTGAAGTTATGTTTCACACTTCACATCTCTAAAATTAATGTGATGCCAACATAATGAAACTGATCATTTTATATTGGTCCCTTTATGACTAAGGTTGATTATAATAAAAGCCTTGCCATTTTTGTTTATGTATATTAAAATGTGATACCTGATAATGATTATAGGTATAAATATATTTGTCTGTTAACGTACTATCATCATGTGCCCTGCTGATGAGTGAGGGGGCTGTGTTTCACAATCCCACATGATCAGGTCTCTGCTCTTGTCTCACCCCATCTAAATGGCCGCGCCATCCAGGTATTTATCTCTTCGCTTTCCTCTTGCTCTTTTTTCTATTTATCTTGGCGGTTGTGACACGATCTTAAGTCCAAGCTTTACTGGGAAGGTCACGGGTAGTGAGCATACTTTGGATCTTTTTATCAGGCAATGCCGCGTGGTGGGTAATGAACAGGCAGACATATTGGCTGGATCTGCACCATTGGGTGGTGAATTGATACATGACAAGGCAGATGTGGTCAAGGCTGTTTAGGAACAAGCAACAGAATCAGTAGAAAAACAAGATTATTATAGCCTAGAGAGAATGGGGTACCTGGGTGCAATCAGGGGGTCTTGCTGGCTCACTACACTAAGAGGAAAGGCAAGACGGACACATAACCAGACTGTGACCGGTTCCATCAGTATTGGAACTCTGTTCTGGCTGCTGAAGATAAGGACGGAACACACATGAAAATGCCCCGAGTGCTGTGATGTCAATTCTTTATCTATTGTTCATATTGTAGAACCATGTAAACAACTGGATAGATGCACATGGCAGACAGTTCTTTTCCTCAGTTTAAATTGTCTATTTCTAGATATTAGGATTTCAATTTTGTAAACTCTAAATCAGGCATGTGAAACTGAGGGTCCCCAGAGCGCCATATGGGTCACATTTGTGTTGTTACTGGGGCCACACAAAACAACTAATTGAAGTCATTAAATATAAATGATTGCATAATATTTTTTTTTATTGCGGGCCACAGGTGTGCTTCAAGAGAGTAGCATGTGGTCTGCGGGCCACAGGTGTGCTTCAAGAGAGCAGCATGTGGTCTGCGGGCCACAGGTGTGCTTCAAGAGAGCAGCATGTGGTCTGTGGGCCACAGTGTGCTTCAAGAGAGCAGCATGTGGTCTGCGGGCCACAGGTGTGCTTCAAGAGAGCAGCATGTGGTCTGCGGGCCACAGGTGTGCTTCAAGAGAGCAGCATGTGGTCTGTGGGCCACAGTGTGCTTCAAGAGAGCATCATGTGGTTTGCGGGCCACAGGTGTGCTTCAAGAGAGCATCATATAGTCTGCGGGCCACAGGTGTGCTTCAAGAGAGCAGTATGTGGTGTGTGGGCCACAGGTGTGCTTCAAGAGAGCATCATATAGTCTGCGGGCCACAGGTGTGCTTCAAGAGAGCAGTATGTGGTGTGTGGGCCACAGGTGTGCTTCAAGAGAGCATCATATAGTCTGCGGGCCACAGGTGTGCTTCAAGAGAGCATCATATAGTCTGCGGGCCACAGGTGTGCTTCAAGAGAGCAGCATGTGGTCTGCGGGCCACAGTGTGCTTCAAGAGAGTAGTTTGTGGTCTGTGGGCCACAGGTGTGCTTCAAGAGAGCAGTATGTGGTCTGTGGGCCACAGGTGTGCTTCAAGAAAGCAGCAAGGCCGTCTGTGGGCGTTTGACATGCCTGTTTTGAATGCCATTTATGTGATTTTTCTTCTTTTTTTGGTTATCTGTCCAGATCAATGATGCTATAAACAGTCACCTGAACCGCCTTTTAATGGAACCAGTAGAGGAGAAAGATGGGTGGGTGTGTATTGCAGACCAAGGTGACCTCAAAGTTTTCAAGAGGGAGTTGGAGGAGAATGGCATTCCAATAGATCCAATGAAGGCTGTGTGTACAGTGAAGGTGAGAATGTTGGTATTTCACACTGTGTTCATGTTTAATATTAAGAGGATCAGTTTCATTGCACCAGGTTTATCCTATATGGCTTGATCTCTCTGCAGAATAACTAATCATCTGCTGAGATTTGCACAAAGCACATACTCTGTAGCTCAGATGATTATACCAGGGATCTTCATAAAAACTTTGCTCATGAGCCTAATGGTAAGGAGTGCAAGCAAATGGCTTAACAACTTCACAACTGTGTGTTGCTGTGAACATGTGATAGCTGTGAGCTGAGAGGCAGAAGTGCATGGGAGTTCATTCAGAAGTAAATGGATGATAGTTAATGCAACAGAGCCTAGCATATGGAACCACAACCTCTAGTTGGAGAATAGAGGGTGAGGCGGTCACAACGGCATTTCACTGGTTTGAGAAGCAGTTGCACACACATGTTGGGATTTTAACGGATTCACAAAGCATTCTAATGAAAGCATGCTCCGAGCAGAGTGCCAAGCATTACTTCAGAAGTCCTGAATAGTTAGCGTCTCATGTGGATGTAGGTGTGTTGGGAAATTATTAGGCAGATTGACTGGGAGTAAATTGATGCATGATAAGCTAGTTGAGGTCAAGGCCCTTTTGAAGCAAGAATAATGCTGACGCGTGAGTAAAACTTTGTGGTTTGGAGATAATAGCGCAGCAGTGAGTGACCAAGGGATCTGGCCTACACTTTGCACCCATGGAAAAGTAAGACAGACTGCTGCTGTTAACACTGGAATAGGAACTTGGTGGTGGCTTTTGGAGATAGGGAGGGAGCACTCAGTGTGTCCAGAGTGAAATCTTGTCATGTGGAATCTTCTCTTCCTTTTTTTTTTGGTAAGTGGTAAATCAAAACTTACAATTGTTATTTCCTTATGTTCTTAAAATAAATGGTTAACGTAGTGCATACATTTTGTTTTGTTTATGAGGAAAAATGACTCCCCAAAACTTTTTTAAATTTGCTGTGAGTTCAGTTCTGCAAGTTATACACTTATGTCTCTGAATGTTTCTTTTGTATTAGAGATGCTTCAATCTGTTATCCTTTTTTTTCAATAGGGTATAACAGGACATGAAGTTTGTCAGTATTTTTGGGCATTCGACACCAGAATGGAATGGGAAGGTAACTGATTTTTATATATTAAAGTTATCTTTCTATTGTATTACATTATGTGCATACATTTATGAGTGATTATGTTTAATAGTTCAAATTGATTATATGTACATATATATATATATATAATTGTGTGTGAATACATACGCACGCACACATATATATAAATAGTCAGTTGTGATGTCTTCTCTTTTGTGTTTTTTGTTTTTCATTATATTCTTTCAACAACAAAAATTTACAAAATTATATCTCTTTCTGTTTGAGATGCTGTGTCTGAGCGTGGCACCCTTCTTTGTGTACAATATATCTGGTAACTTATGCAATAAACTAGTTTTATCAAGTTTATACTTAAAAAAAAAAAGAAAAAACATTCCATCTCATTTGCTATTTATATTTTTGGTTATGTTGTGTTTATGGCATATATATCTCACATGTGTGCTTGGAAAGAAAGGTGAAATGGAAAACCCTCATGGTTGGTTGGATTTTATTGGTAGTTTTCTACTTTCATCATGTAGCTATTCTCTTGCCAGTAATTTTAGTTGTCTTTGCAACAGGCGTAGACGGTTGCTGCGGTTTTTGTTGAGAAAGGCAGAGGCGTAAATGTCTTTTTGTTTTGTATGTGTACAGTGTTGCCCCCCTCCCTTTCTCCCCTTGTTTAAAAGCACCTTAATCACAGTTCAGTGGATTATTTTATTGGGGGTTACAGATTTACTGTTATTAATCCCAATGGACTAATCAAGGCTGCTGCTTACAGGCAAGCCAGGGTTTGCTGATGCAGATTCCCCACTTTTTGACTGGGATCTAAAGGTTTCTTCACCCAGCTGCTGAGTTGAGCACTTGGTGCAACATTGTGAACTGTGGATTTCATGTTAAATGTGTTTTTTTTTCTGTTTTTCCCACGACGAATTTTTGTTGTGAACTGCACTAAGATGTACATGTGGTTGATTACCTTCGAAATGGCATGTACTTATGCAGTAGTTCATGTGCAGTGTCAGCTTTCCTAATTGGCTGCTTATATCAAGAGTGAGCTGCATTTCTTGGGTGTGACTGGTGGTATTGGCACATCTGATAGCTTCCTTATGCATTTATGTATGTGAGTTTCAAGAGTTTGCTGGGACTGATATGTTTTTCACTAGTTTTCAAATGAGACAGCAAAGGACAGTTTCCAGTGGGACATCGAAATTCATTTGATATGATTTCCACTGGCACAGGGGCGGAGCAGTTATAAGGAAACCAGTTTGCAGTGAAGATAAAAAACCCTATGAAAAGTATATCAGTAAGCTTCACAATATAACGAACACAAACAAAATACACAAAAATCATTTAGCTTAGCATCTTGAAGTGGCCAGGTCAATGTCTTGTCAGTAGATTGACGAGACACGTGGGACAGGAGAATAAATACCCCAGGGGCGGTAACTGGAGGTTTTTAGATAAAACTGTGTGGGCAGTTCGTATCCCCTAGGATTTTACTGCAGTGAAGTTGGAACCTCGACTCAAGACTAACTGCTGAATGTGTTTGGCAGGAATGACCTTTACAGTGAGCTTAGAAACTTCACAAATGAAGATAGATTAATTAGATCCAAAGTTAAAGTCAAGAGGGTCTGCTTTTTTTTGCACCATGTTTTACACCATATGGTTTGGCCTCTCTCAGCAGAATGGCCCACTGTCTTCCATGAACAAAGCATGAATTCCGTAAATCTGACGATGATCCCTATTGATCTCCAGAAAAATTGCACTCACAATTTAAAAATCGTAGCTGTGCAAACTGCTTGACCGCTAGGGTTAATTATAACTGGCTAATGATCCAACAGCAAATACAGACTTTTTGGGATTTGGTAACGAACTTTACAGCGTGATACAAATTGTTTGACCACTACTTTTAAGTTATAACTGGCTAATGATTTGACAGCAAATACAGACTTGTTAGGATTTGGTAATGAATTTTAGAGCACGATACTAACTACTTGACCACTGGCTAATAAATGGCTAATGATTCAGCAGCAAATATTTACTTGTTGGGATTTGGTAACAAACTTTAGAGCGCGATGCAAACTGCTCGACCACTGCTGTTAAGTTTTAACTGGCTAATGATTCAACAGCAAATGCGGACGTGTTGGGATTTGGTAGACTCATACCCATCTGTAATTTGCTATAAAGGATATCCTTTTGGAATCTACCAGTCTCGATCTCCCAAGTGTGACCTAGCCATCTGAGCCCTTGAAGACTGAGCATTGAGAGAGCTTTTGTGATACCTGCTTTTCCCAGTACCTCCGTGCTTGTGACCAGAGTAGTTACCCTATTTGTGAAATCACTTTCTATAACCAGTTCGTGCTGTTGGCTGTCTTTCATTGTTTGTAATCTGGTTATGACTATTTTCAGCAACGCTGGACAACTGCCATGTTGTAGAATGGTTGTCAGATGATACTTTCGTCAGCAATAATGTGATCAAGAGAGTCTGGCCAGCGTCCCAGCGTGATGCCTTGTTCTGGTCACACATACGCCATGTTTCCAAGCGGAATGATGAGGGACCAGACTGTTGGATTGTTGTCAACTATTCCTGTGAACACCCAGAATGCCAGGTATAATTCCACTTCAGAAAGATATGTCTGTATATCTTCTTTTTCTTTTGTCGTCTCACTGATTACCAGGTTGTAGCCCAGCGTCTTAGTTTTCTGTATTTGTCTTTTGCTTCTCAGGTGGCTTGAGTATTGGATTTGTTAATCTTTTTGCAGGTTTTAGCTGCACCATTCATCCGTCTATATAAGTAAAGTAAAGGACCCTTTTCCACGTATAGGGCATATAGAGCTAGACCTATATTTGTATAGACCAATCTGCATAAGATGGGTGATGTGGTCAGCTTCACGCCAGCCACCTATACTTCCCAGGACTGCACCCGGTACCCACTCAAGGCTGGGTCGACGCGGGAGCCAAGGTCATTTAAAAAAAAAAAAAAAAAAAGTCTGGCTCCACCAGGGAGCGAACTCACAACCTTCCGATCCGCATTCGAGCGTCTAGCCACCCCACCACGGCAACTCCTCATCCGTCAATATAATATGACACAAATAAATTTATAATGTTGTCTTTTTTTGCATTACCCCTTAAAAAATTGTTGGTTTGTTGCATTGTGGGTTTACAGTTACCTTGTGATGTTTGTGCCTTTTAGCCAGTTTCAGGAGCTGTGAGTTTATTCTGATACCTGGCCCCTTTCCCCCCTCCCCTCCTCCCAATTTTGGTCCTGGACCCCACAGGAGAAATTGTTTTTTTTTGGATTGGATTGCACATTAATGGGTGGACTCCTCAATTTTGGAAAACAAATTACCACATGGGTTCATTGTTGCAGAAGCCTTCACACATTTTACAACAGCCAAGCCTCAAATTAATTAACACTCAATATCAGTACATGGGTGCTGCTTATGGGTTAAATCCAATGTTAATAATTAAAAGACGATCATATAAACCAAACCTATGCAATATATTGCTGCCTATATCTTTGAGAGATCAATGTATGGGTTCAAGGGCCCCATTATTTGAGGAAAAAAACAGCAGACTCACTGTTCCCCCCCCCTCCAACAAATTGTTGTAAAAGTAGACTAACTAGGGGGATGGGTGTCCTCCAAAGTCATAGTGCATTGTCCTGAGTAATAAGGAGCTAAGCAGTCAGTATACAATTAAGGTGGATCTGTAAAACAGATGTGCATGCAAAATGCAAGTTTTGAAACAAGATAAAAATGCAGAAGCGGATGAACAGCCAGAACTTTCTGCCGGCGTTTACAGCCTGTAAGCATGCAGAAGTAGTAGTATATATCTCAGACAGTGAGCAAGTTACTATGATAAAATTAGGATGAACTTTGAACTTCAATACCTGAGGTATCCTTTACACCATGTTGCAGAACCAGCCTGTGGTGGTTTTTCTAGGCAAATGTTACGTTCAGTATTTTGTCATTGCTTTCTGAATGGTCAGCTCTCAGTACCACTGTTGAAACCAGTGCAAGATGTTCTGCACCCAAGGTATAAAGTAGTCAGATACAGAAAGGATTGGAATGTATGAGCAGGATAAGTGACCATTTCACACCATTGATGCAACAGGCATCAGTGCTGGACCCATTTTCTTGGCATATGATGTATGAGGTGGACATTTCCTGGTACCCATATTAGGCTAAGTTAACCTATAAAGACAGCCTTGATGTTGATTCAGACCCAAAGTGTTCAGGCCATCAGGCAGGCATCTAACACAAAGCACGAAGTATAGAGGTGAGGTGCCATATATATATGTACACATATATATGTGTGTGATATGTGGTAATTAGTACACAAAATCAGTTTATAAAGTGTTTTTCAAACATGGGTTTAAAAAAAAAAAGAGGGGGACGGGGACTACATTCCTTCTCATTATTTGATGTTAATTTTTGGCTGTTACATAACATTCATAATGTCACACTGAGATGGCAGTCTGTAATCTGCTGCAATAACATTCCAGTAGGATTAAATGACAGAAGTAGGCTTGATATATATATATATATATATATATATATATATATATATATAAAAAGTAAATGACCCTTTTCTATGCCTTAAGGCGTATAGGGAATATAGGGCTAGACCTATATTTTATAGATCAATCAGCACAAGATGGGTAATGTGGTCAGCATCTCGCCAGCTGCCTTTACTTCCTGGGACTGCACCCGGTACCCACTCAAGTCTGGGTTGACCTGGGAGCCAAGGCAATTTTTTTTTAAAGTCCGGCTCTGCCAATGAGCGAATCCACTACCTTTCGATTTGCAGGCGAGCATCTAGCCGCTCCGCCACTCCGACTCCCTGTATATATATAGAAATAGATATATTATTTATTCCTCACCCATTTCAGAATTCTACACACATATTTTCTGGCTCTCCCCCCCCCCCCCCCCCCCTCCCCCCTCCCTGAACCCCCTCAAATTTCTGGTATTAAGTTAGTTGCGTATCCTTTATAGGACGTTGCAGAACCAACCCAAACAGCTCCTGGCTGTTTTGTGGTTTTTCTAGGCAAATTTATGTCCAGTAGTTTGCCATTGCTTTCTGGACGGTCGGCTTTCTTGATACCCCTGTCGAAACCAACGCAAGGCGCATGACCTGCAGCTGGGATCGAACCCGGCATTACGAAATGCTCGCATCAACTTAGCCACAGAGCTGACAATTTCTGGTATAGGCCATTGAAAAAAAAACATCTGTAAGCTTGACCTTTGACCTCCTGCTTGTTGTGACATTAATATGTTTGCTTTGCAATGTTATGTATCTGAGGTTTTTAAAATATTCTCTTCACATAGCCTGTCAAATACGTGCGCATCACCATGAATGTGGCATTGATTTGTGAGACCATCATCGAACCTCCAGCAAGTGGGGACATTACCAGGAAGAATATCACCTGTAAAATTACATACACTGCAGATGGTAATAATTTATTTTCAAGTAGTTTTCTGTAGGCCAGTTCACTTGGTGAGATTGTTGGTCAGTGCTTTTAACAAAATGGGTAAAGTTCAAGTCAAATTGATGGACTTCATTACACTGGGTTTTTTCCTGTTTAGCTCTGCATCACTCAGCTAGCCACCTGCCATGAATGAGAGTCCCACAAAACCCAAACTTCATAGCCCCAGTGATTATCCTCAAGGATCCCCGTAAAAATTGCACTTGTGGACTAAATGATGATGTTCGTGATATGAGGCAGCTGACTTGATCACTTTGGAGACGATTGTATTTTTTAAAAGAGAAGATGTTAATTTTGTTGTGACAACCAGGGAAATTAAGCAGGTTAGAGACAAGATTAACATGGAAATGCATTTCTGGTTAAATAGACTGTATGTTTAATTAAGGAACACTCCTATAAGTGTTCCGTCCCCATTTTCAGCAGCAAATGAACAGTGTCAATTCCGGTGGTACCCGTAACTGTCCGTCTCACCTTTCCCTTGAGTGTTGAGCGTTGGCCAGATCCTCTGGTAACTCTCCAATATTCTTCAGACCGTAATGACCTGTTTGTGCCTCCTCACTGTTCACTCACTCCAAAAGGGCCCTTGCAACATCTGGCTTGTCATACATCAATTCACCACCAAGTAGTGCAGAACCGACCAGTCTGTCTGCACACTCATTTCCCAGAACACCAGCGTCACCTGGAGAAAATATCCAGAGTGTTTGAATAGACTGAGAGGTGTAGAAGATGATTAGCAGTCATCAGAAACACAGAAGATAGAACATGATTGACTGAGTCAGTCAGCACTGCAGATGATGCTGATTTGCACTGTTGCTCCAGGGAACCCAAAAACAAGTTGGCAGTTGTTTCAGTTGACTCTGGTATTTTTGTCCTGGCACACTTGAAAATGTTCAAAGGGGAGGAACCAGTAGTCTGCATACAAGTAAGCCAGATTTATAAAATGGATAAGCAAGTTCTAGATCAAGACCAAAGTCCAGAAGTGGATGAACAACCAGAACTTGCCACCAGAGTTTACAGCTGGTGAACGCATAGAAGAAGATTTACTAACACTTCTGAGTAGAGCTGATACAAGAGCAGAGTGCACCCACAAAAAATATTGTTTTTTTGATAAAGTAAAGACATTTGCACAGTGGTAAGAGAATCAAACCATTCAAGAGATTCAGATCTATCACTTTCCATCAATTTTTTGGTTCTATGAGTAGGGCTTTACCATGTTACCATCAGTATTTCTCAAGCATTGAGTGGCTAACCTTCATTGTGAAGACGGCACACAGTAATTTGTAACATGACACAGAATGTCTGTAGTCAGTGCCAGGCTAGCAACTTTTCCTCCCTGTAGCGCTTTGGCAGCAACAGAGGAAGATATTGGTGATGTATATGGTTTTCTGCTGTGGAAATATTTGTTATAATTACAGTAAATAGATATTTGTTTAAATTATAGTTGATAGCTGTTGCAATTACAATCAAGATTTGTTGAAACTGCATTGTCAACTTTACAATCAATATGTGTTACAATTTCAGTCAGTATTTGTTAACATTACAGTTTCTGACTGTCAACATTTTTGGTCTCTTTCAGTCAACCCCGGAGGCTGGGCTCCAGCATCAGTATTGAGGGCTGTTTACAAACGGGAGTATCCAAAGTTTTTGAGACGATTTACAGAATTTGTAGTAGATAAGACAAAAGACAAGCCTATTTTATTCTAACTACCAATATTCATCTTAAGTGGCAGTACTGTTATCCTTGGGAAGTTAAATTATGCAGTTTATGATTTGTTTTTAATGTATTCTGTGAAATTAATTATTACCTGTGATCTTCTTCTGTTTTTTGCCCTCAAAAGGGTAGTTGGCACATTACGTTGAGGTTAACGGTTAGGCTATGTAATAGCATCTTTTGGCCTAACACAGCAATTTTAGCAGATCTCTAACTAGTAACCCTTTTCTGCTTGTGCATATTAAGGGTTCGTGAGCCTAAATTAGGCTCCAGAACCCATACAGGGACCATACTGGGGAAAAAAAACGATCCCGGGTGAAAGAACAAACAGGTTTGAAAAGGAATGTACCATCTTCAGTGCACACAGAAAATGGTGTGATAACATTAAAGTATGCAAGCATAATAAGGAATTTCAATTTAATATGAGTATTGAAACATGTCTAGTTGACCACATGTATGGTTTTACTGACAGTTGAGTATTCTCCCCATCTGAAATCACATTCTGAAAGATTGATACCTAGTGACTCAAAGAGTCACAGGTAGTTACTTGTGATAATTATAGCTCTTTGATTTCTTTGAGATTTTTTGTCATGGAAATATTTGTTAATGTAACTTTTACCCCGACAGCTCAGTTTTTTTGTATTGTATTTTGTTTAAACAGTGCTGATTGTCAATGTCAGGGATGTTTAACAGATCATTTAGCAGTTGTTAGATCTGAGTGGTTGCTGTATGTTAAATTGTCTAGAGACATATAAATTACATGCTTGTTCATAGGCTTTTTTGTTTTATTTATTACAGTTCTTATCTTCAACAGCATTATTAAAAAATGTGTTTCTTTCCTTCTTCTTTATTCGATTTCTACACCTGCTGTTTCTTCTCCTCTTCTCATCATCCTGCACCTCTTTCTGCTTTTCAAAACCTTATAGGTTTCCATTTTTTTGTCAGGTAAGCCTTATTGCTACTGTTCATTTTGTCATGTCATTTAAAAATATTCCTAGAGGTTAACCAGTGTAAATGTATGAGCTTATGTTTAGGTTGTTGAACTTCTTTGACAGATGTGTGTTTATTGAGTTATCCTCCAGAGCTGTGATATTGTATGATATTGGTTAAACAGATGGTCATGTTTATGATATTATTAATCAGAGAGGTGATCGAAAACAATAATGGCAAGTCATATGGCAAGTAGAATCTCTTTTAATCGCCACTGATTACTGGTATTGTGAAGGCCAATAGATTAGGGCCTGGAGAGAGAATGATAGATATCAGAGAGACAGAAATTACACACACACAGAGGAGTGGAATGGGAATAGACCATGAGTAGTAATGAACCTAAGGGCTCCGAATGCTGAAGAAGAAGTCGCACACAGTGTGAATCTCAAAGGTAGCCCAGCATTCTCTCAGTAGGGGAGGAGCAAAGGTTAATGCAGATGTGTTTAATGTTGGTTCAGAACCACACTGCCCATTGCTTCTCCAGAGTACTGTTTCAGCTGTGATCATGAGACTAGTCAGTCAGTTACACTAGTGAGTCTCTGAAAGAGCAGGCTGAGGAAGGTTGGGACAGGTATGCAGAGTGGCATGCTTTACAGCAGAGATCACGGGTGAGGAGTATTATCTGGATCTTTTTTTCCATGGAATGCTGGTATGTTAGTGAAGGAACATGTGGATAGACTGGTTGGCTCTGCGCAGCTTGGTCGAATATTGATGCATAATAAGGCAGACATAGTTAGGGCCTTGTGGGAGAGTGTGTACAATTTAAAGGAGCTAGTGGATCACCACAGTCTGGTGAGAGCAATGTAGTGGGAGGTGACGAGGGGTTGTGGGTGAGGCTCAATGCTCAGAGGAAAGGCAAGAGGGACGTATAATCAGAGTGGTGCTGACACCATTGGTATTGGAACTCAGCGCTGGCTGCTGAAGATAGGGACAGAACGGTTATGAAAATGCCCAAAATTAACTCAACTCAGCTAGTGCAGTCTGTTATAGTAGTGAATTGGCCACTCCTTCCTGTAAATAGAACTGAAAAAGTCCATCGGCAGTGAGAAGTTTTAAATTAAATTATAGACAAGTAAAGGACTCTGTTGATGCCTTGGGTTATGATATGTCTTGTATCTTTCTTGTCAACTAGCTTTATTTCCTCAGAGGAATCTGGTGCTTATGGGATGACTCTCATTTCAGAATGAAAGATCTCTCTGCTGCTGGTTACTGAATGATGATGATTAATTTCATTAGCCAAGTTCAGCCGCTAACTAGGGAGCTTGGTTATAATTATGGTGTCTTATTTCAATGTGTATTTCTTTGTGCTGGTACTTTTTGAACACAGATCACTGTTGCTAAACCACTACACTAACCACTATGGCTCATGAACTTTTGGTCTGTACAATGTTAATAACTTGTTGGAAGTTTTTCCTTTTGTTTGAGTGTGCTGTAATTGGGTTTGATTAGAAACCATGTTTGCCTTTCTGAAGCAGAAGTGAAATACCATGTAGGACAACATTAGATAGAAACAAATTGTGGATGGGCTTTTGTTTTGTTTTTGGTTTAGTAATTTAGTTTATTGGCTATTGTCTGTTGTAAATTAAAATTATGTTTACATACGTTTTGCATCATTGTTATAAAAAAGGTCCTTTGACTAACATCATTCCCATTTTGTCCAGCTGGAAAGCCAGTCTCTCGCCAGTTCTCCTTGCCTCATGAGCTTTAATTCCTAGAGTGTCGCCTATATCATATGTCCACCTTATGCTGGTCACTCCCTGCCTTTTCTTCCAAGAACATTGCCTTCAGTGAATTTTTAAGCAACTTGTGTGTTTAATATGCCCAGGATATTTCAGTTTTTGAGACTTCATGCTTTTTATGAGCCATTTTTCCAACATTATTCCCATCTTGCAGAATACATATTGAGTACCAGGTCCAGTTTTTAACTTGTGATACATGCGGCCCTGAAGTTTCTTGTTCCCAGTAAGAAGAAATATGCCCTGTTTTTGAATTGTTTTACTTCAGCTTGTATAAGATCCAGTTAATAACTTTACAGACTTGCTGTGTATGTATATATATGGAGGTAAGCCTTATAATACCCTTATTCACAAACTGCAAGACAGAAGTTATTTTCATGTCAGAGAAATACATATTTTGTATCTTTAAGAATAATAATTGTTTTTGTATGTATTGGTCAGAGGATTTTACTTATATTGAAAAATGTTTGTTTGAAAACCAATCCAATCACATGCATTTTCATATGATATTGTTCACTTTCTCAGAATTGGACAGAGAGAATACCACAGAATGTCGCAAAATGTGAAGTGATGGACAACTAGTGTTAGACTTTAGACTTGGCAGGATCTCTTAGAGAGGCCACATTTAGGCCTGCGTCCTGAAAACTCAAATCTTAACACTTTGGATACTGATTTAAGAATTGACCTCATAGCACACCGGGCATACCCATAGATGCTCAGTCTCCTGCAGCAGATGTGTTTAGGCGTAGATGCTAACTGTTTCCGTGCCACACTGATAATACACACATCATTCTGTTCCTCCCAGTCTCAGACACCCATCCTTGTCGGATTTACTCCTAATACCTTGTTCACACATTCTTACACAAGTTTTTAAAAATCGAATCTCATATCTTTTATAAACATTTGTTTTTATATATGGTCTTCAGAATATCTCCCTTGTCCAGAACTGACCTCTGGTACCACAAGAATTAATAAATAATTCAATCAGTAGGTGAATGTCCTTTCTCATGTCACTAGCATAATGGGCAGATACTGATAGAGCTGTATTTTATGTACACAAATCAGCACTCTGTGGGTGGTGTGGTCAACATGAGCCCGTCTTTACACTCACATTTCAGACTGGGTCAGCCTGGGAGCTGAGGTAATTTATTTGTTAAAATCGGCCTTAATGCAGATTTGAGCTTAAGACTTTTGGGCCTGCAAGCAAGCTTCTAGCCACAGTGCTATTACAGCACTGTGATGTTATGCACTATTATGATGCACCCAATTCCCACAGAAGAAAGAAGACTCAATGTTGAGAAGTAACCATATTATGGAAGCACCCAATTCCCACAGAAAAAAGAAGACTCAATGTTGAGAAGGAACCATTTTATGATGCACCCAATTCCCACAGAAGAAAGAAGACTCAATGTTGAGAAGGAACCATTTTATGATGCACCCAATTCCCACAGAAGAAAGAAGACTCAATGTTGAGAAGTAACCATATTATGGAAGCACCCAATTCCCACAGAAGAAAGAAGACTCAATGTTGAGAAGTAACCATATTATGGAAGCACCCAATTCCCACAGAAGAAAGAAGACACAATGTTGAGAAGTAACCATATTATGGAAGCACCCAATTCCCACAGAAGAAAGAAGACTCAATGTTGAGAAGGAACCATATTATGAAGCACCCAATTCCCTCAGAAGAAAGAAGACTCAATGTTGAGAAGTAACCATATTATGAAGCACCCAATTCCCACAGAAGAAAGAAGACTCAATGTTGAGAAGGAACCATTTTATGATGCACCCAATTCCCACAGAAGAAAGAAGACTCAATGTTGAGAAGTAACCATATTATGGAAGCACCCAATTCCCACAGAAGAAAGAAGACTTAAATTATTTAGGTCCCTGCAAATTGTAACTCCTTCAACTGTGTATGTAGTATGTTTAGTCTGCCTAGCACTGGTAGGGCTGAAAACACTGACACATTATATAGGTTCTCTTTTTCAATGTTCACCTTTAAAAAGGTGATTGGCATACTGTGTTGTAGTTTACAGTTAGGCTGGGATATTTACACCCTTGGGCCTAACATATTTAGTTTCAGCATACCTTTAACTGGTCACCTTTTACTACATGCTTGTTCTTTTTTTTTGTTTTTTTTTTGTTTTTTGGGTGGGGTGGTTAGAAGCTTCAAAGTTATCTATCAGGGCAAATTTTTCATGAAAGATAATGTGGTCGTGCTGTGGATAAACTTTTCTGACATAAAACATATTTCATTACAGTTC